GATATTTATGTAGATACAAGACAATGTAATATAAGATCAATTGAGAAACAAACATGTAACACACAAGAGTAAGGTTAAGGGTTTTAGTTTATTTATATTTAATTACAATATATTTACTTGCACATGTCATTAGGGCATGTAAGATAAAGTTTTGAAAGATTTGCTGAGCTTCAAAAGTAAAGTTGTTGTAGTCTGGATTCAATAGTGTTTCAATTAAGCTTATAGCTTCCAACACAATCAACCTAAAACTAAATTTAGTCTAAACTAAGGATTAATGATGTTGTGTCTCCATGTTTGTGCTTGTAGTCTAACAAAAATGTTTGGCATCTTAACTAGCTGTTAAGACAAAAAGTTGGCTGGTAAGTGGACTAATAGATACTTCAACAGAAATGGACCTCAGTTATTGATCAGATTCGTGATACTTGTTGTGAATAATCTAGATGCTTATTATTGTGAAACCCAGATTTTTATGTACAGATTAAATTTGAGACCAATAAGAATTAAGTCATATTCTTTTTTAGCTCACCTGTCACAAAGTGACAGGGTGAGCTTTTGTGATCGCTTTTCGTCCGTCGTCCGTCCGTCGTCCGTCCGTAAACTTTTACTTTAAATGACATCTCCTCATAAACCACTAAGCCAATTTCATCCAAACTTCACAGGAATGTTCCTTTGGTGGTCACCTTTAAAAATTGTTCAAAGAATTTAATTCCATGCAGAACTCTGGTTGCCATGGCAACCGAAAGAAAAAACTTTAAATATCTTCTTTTAAAAAACCAAAAGAGCTAGAGCTTAGATATTTGGCATGAAACATCTTCTAGTGAGTGTCTACCAAGTTTGTTCAAATAAAAGCCCTGGGGTCAAAATTGGCCCCGCCCCAGGGGGTCATTGATTTTCCCTATATGCATATAGTAAAAACTTAAAAAATCTTCTTTTAAAGAACCCAAAGAGCTAGAGCTAAGATATTTAGCATGAAACATGTTCTAATGGGTGTCTACCAAGTTTGTTCAAATAAAAGCCCTGGGGTCAAAATTGGCCCCGCCCCAGGGGGTCATTGATTTTCCCTATATGCATATAGTAAAAACTTAAAAAATCTTCTTTGAAAAAACCCAAATAGCTAGAGTTAAGATATTAAGCATGAAACATCTTTTAGTGAGTGTCTACAAAGTTTGTTCAAATAAAAGACCTGGGGTCAAAATTGGCCCCGCCCCGGGGGTCATTGATTTTCTTTATATGTGTATAGCAAAAACTTAAAATCTTCTTTGAAAAAACCCAAATAGCTAGAGTTTAGATATTAAGCATGAAACATCTTCTAGTAAGTGTCTACAAAGTTTGTTCAAATAAAAGACCTGGGGTCAAAATTGGCCCCGCCCCGGGGGTCATTGATTTTCTTTATATGTGTATAGCAAAAACTTAAAATCTTCTTTGAAAAAACCCAAATAGCTAGAGTTTAGATATTAAGCATGAAACATCTTCTAGTAAGTGTCTACAAAGTTTGTTCAAATAAAAGCCCTGGGGTCAAAACTGGCCCGGCCCCAGGGGTGTCATTGTTTTTAACTATATGTGTATAGTAAAAACTTAAAAAAAATCTTCTTTTAAAAAGCCCAATGAACTAGAGCTTAGATGTTTAGCATGAAACATCTTCTTATGGGTGTCTACCAAGTTTGTGCAAATAAAAGCCCTTGGGTTAAATTGGCCCTGCAACGTTGGGGGGAGGGGGGGTTGAGGGGGGAGCCTATATACAGGTGAGCGACCTCAGGGCCATCATGGCCCTCTTGTTTACCCTTGTATTAAGAATTAGCCTAACAAATTTAAAATAATTGGATGTTGAATGAATTGACAATACTAATTAAAATATTTTCGTATTTTACTTTAGAAACAAATTTTAAGATTTTTTTACGTTTCTTCAGACACTATCGACAATCCAGAATTGATACACCGTCTCATCCTGGAGGTGTAAGTAATGCGGTATTAGACCGACGTCAAGACCGGCATGACAGAGATAAAGACAAGGGAGTATATGCTTCATCTAAACATCATGACAGGGATAGAAAGAAGGACAGAAAGGATAGAGAAAGAGACAGGCGACATGATAGAGATAGGGATAGAGATAGACGGAAGAACAGAGATAGAGGTAAAAATGATAATAATAATAATAAAAAAGTTGAAATATAGAAAAACATTGAAGAAAGTTGCTTCCGTTTGAGATGATGCAAGTTGATGATTCCTGCTTACATGCGGTAATTGATAAAGCAATTGATTCTCGTTCCTATTGGGGAATGATAAAAGTCAGGCAAAGTTGCCTGCATTGGGTAAAAGGTTAATATGTTTTTTTCCCCTCATGTTGCCTGATAGTCTTTTTCCACTTTTCTTGTCTATTCATTAAAAGAGTGACCTGAGTTTAGATATATTTATTTAAGTTTAATTGGGATGAAAGTTTGAAGTTATAAATCTCAAGTCTGCTTTCTGGAAATATAAATATTTACAGTTGTGGGGAAACACAGCCATGAACCCAGTAGTTGACACTTTAACCATTTCACTATCTGTTGAAAATTCTGGTAAAAAATGACTATAACAAGTTTGTAAATATAGTCCAAACAGATGCCATAAAAATCAAACTGTTTCAATTGAAATGTTTTGGCTGTTTTTTGTTTCTTAAAGAAAGGAAATAACAGGTTACAGTCAGACACACAAAAAGAGAAATATTAAAAGTTATGTATAGCATAGTATTTCCAACATTTATAACTTTTCAAATTCTACGAAATACCACAAAATATTTCCAAGTTTATATGAAGGATCTGTAGTGGTGTTGGTAGTTTACCCTCAGGATCACGACAGGATGCCACAATGAATTTATCATAGCACAGTTCAGCCACCACATTGTGAAGGACCTTTTTTTAAAAATCAGCCGGAAAAGGCCTTGATCTGTAGAGAGGGATGATGGCTTGTAGTAAACAAACATGATACACAGATGACAAGCTGGTTCATACACTGTTCATACATGTCAATTTACCTGTAATTTTCATTGAAATGATAAAGGCTTTAAAAGATTGTGATTCTGAAACAAGATAAATGGATACACTTGTACAAGTATATCAAAACTTTGAGTATTTGCTGTATGCCTAATTTTGTTTCTTATGAATCTTTTATTGTTCTAATAGTAAATTCAATGTATCATTTGTTTAAATGATATTTTAGTGACACAGATATTTAACTAACATATGGAATGATTGTATTTTGAAGATGGAGACTACCGTAGTGAGAGAGGTTCAGAGCGCAGAGACAGGAACTCTGATCGTCGAGATCGACATTCTGAAAGAAGTTCTCGCAGTTCTAGAGACTGGAATGATACTCCACGCAGAAGAAATGAGCCTGCAACTCCTAATATAAGGCCGAAAGGTTTGTTACAATGATGTTATGATTTAATCTCAATTTTTTGAATAACAGTCAAACTGAAAAGATGCACTGTAAACATCAATGCAGATATCTATGGATATGATTTGATATTTCAACCAAATACTGTATTAGTGGATATTTCCATGTGTCAAAAAGTAAGTGAATTTAAAATTCCAGACATTTCATGTGAGGTAATATAAGCTTGTGAAACAAGTGTACAATTTAGTGACAGGTTAGTTGATATAATTAAGCAAGAGGAAATTTTGCGTTTTTCGTCAATTTGCGGAATTTGCCAAATTTCTGTGCTGCTAACCACTTATACAGTATTAGGTATTATAAATATTCTTTGACTGAAGTAAAAGCACAGTAAAGTACAGTATAACCTTTGCAATGCTGCCATCTAAAATGATGTCTGACTGAAGTTGCTCAATCAAAGATAAAATGTGTGATGTATCTTTTCATTTTGGTAAAAAAACACCTGGGTAAAAAATGTCATAAAAATACATTTGTATGTTTAAATCAAATGTTTCAGCCTTTTAGTGTCTATGTTTACTTTTGGAAGAACACAATTTCAGAGGTAAATTTTAAACATGACATTAGAGTTTTTATTATTCATATCTTTATCATGATTTTCTAATGAAGACTCCATGTTATTCAGTTGCTAGGATATACAGAGATAAGAAATTTATTAAAAATATTAAAAAGAAATAACCTTGTAGTTTTGTCTTTGTATAATTAGACACACCGTCTAGATCTGCATGGGACGATGATGAGGATTTTACACCTCCAAAACGATCAAGTTGGGATATGCTCACACCTAGTGGATACGATGACCGGGAGAGTGACCTTGATACACCCTCTGATTATAGAAGATCTAAAAGGTAAGTGTAACATTCTAGTAGGGCATCCTTAGCTGGGTTGTTTAGGTTGTTTGCTTCAAACCACTTGCCACTCACTGTTGTGGGTTTGAATCCTGCAAGGGACTTTAGATTCTTCATGTAAAGAATCTATCCAGTTAGCATGTGGAATGTAGATGGTTTGAAATTGAACTGTTTCCACTTTGATACAAAGGAGTGCGCACTTTTGCTATGCATGTAAAAAATTTTGGTAGATTAGGGGAGATAGCCAAGTTTTCATTAAGTAAAATATGAAGAATTTTAATTGCCTAAATTTTTAAGGCCAGCTTATAAGGAAAGTTGTTTTAGTCTTACAATACAAAGTAAGTATTTGAAAGAGAATGAAGGTCGTAAACATGTATAAAAATATTCATGGAATCTTTAATTCTATTTTAATAAATTTTTCGTATTTTAATTTCTAGTCAAGAATATTTTTATACTTGTAGTTCAAGATCAAGGAATTACAGTAAAGAAACACCTTTACCTACGCCGTCATACAAATACAATGAATGGATGGATGATAGAAAGAAAATAAAATATACACCTAAAGATTCCAGCAGACAAGGTTTGAGTATAACTTTTTTTATTATGACATAATGTAAGGAATCTTCATGCTTAGCTTCAACAGGGAGAACATTGCATTAGTAATCAAGGGGGTGTAGTATCTGTCTTTAGAGGAAGTCTAATTTCTCTATAACACATTGGACATTGAGTATAAAGGTCATTTGTTTCTTACTGCTGATTCAAAAATCACATTGGAATAAATAGTTGGTCACTCATTAAGAAATCGGTTATTTCACAAACTGATTAATTTTGTTATCCAGGAAAGCTTTGTGGGTGGATTGATGCTGAGATATGATAAAAAAAATGTTAAAATGGGCATAAAAACCGGATTAACAAACAAGCAACATCAAAAACATTTATTTACTTGCCAGAATTTTGTTAACTACATGAAAGCCATTCTAGGGAGAGCATAAAATTGCTTGTTTGTACATTTTGACTGACCTCTTAAATTTCCATTATTTTACCTACCAGTTAACATTTCTCTTAGCTTCTTCATTCAATGATTGATTTCTTAAATATTTGTTATGTAGATACCTAACATTAATCTCTATCCTGGGGTATGGTTTATTATCAGTGGGTCAAGTTCAAGGTCACTTCAGCTTATATTAGATATTTCTACTAATGTTTAAACAGTCATCATTTATTGGCAACACATTCCTTCACTTATGCTTTTGCTATATTTAAAGAAGGTTGTTTGAGGCGGTTTATAAAGTTGCTAAACGTTCTGAGTATTCTTTTGCATGATGTGATAGGATTCTGTTATCTTATTAGTAACAAAGATTTTTGACAGGTTATATGGCCCTCTATAACAGTTGTTTAGAAATAGTGGCTTGGGTTGTATTACAAACAATTGTTTATATACAGTCATATAACCTGTCAGGAATATTTATTGATAACGAATTAATAATACAGCAAACTTCATTTTAAAGAGAAAAAAGTGAGATTTCTTTATTAATTGACAGCAGCCTCGTATATAAAGTTATATAAACATTACGATTATCCAATAAAAAAAATGACGTTACAAATGTGCATTATGATAAAAACTATATAAATGTCATGATTATCCCATTAAAAAAGCGGCATTACGAATGTGCAGAAATATAAAAATACACAATATTTATAGAGAGGGTAGATTTAGAGTTCAAGGATGATGATGATAAAGCAGACTGGGAGGAAGAACAGAAGAGACTTGATCGAGAATGGTACGGTCTCGATGAAGGTTATGACGACCAACATAATCCATTCGCTGGCATGTCAGAGAACTATACAAAGAAGAAGGAGGAGGAAATAGAAAAAAGAAAGAAAAATCGAATGTCTGCAAGACAGCGGCAGATAAATCAGGTAATTTCCTTAACCTAGAGAATATAGATTTCTCATATATTATGAAAATGTACACATGTGTGAAAAACTTTACCTTTTTTAGAGATTTTATTTCAGTTTGATTGTATATGAAGCTTTCTTGCATATCGGATTAGTGTTTCTGTTTTATCCATGCCGGAAATTTCATCTGGCATAAAGGAAGCTATACAATGACATCATTTTAACGCATTTTATCAATGAACCACATTAAAATGACGTCATTTCAGGCCATCCTTAAAAAAATGTTTGTTTGCAGTAACGCGACCTACTCACAAAATTTGCCCCTACTCAAAATTTTTTTTCATGGTCTGGATAAAAAAATTTTTTTTTGAATCAGAAAATTATGCCTTGTGCTTTGTTTTCGTTCTGTTAAAGGTTAATAGAAGAAATAAAATGTAGGTCTTATTAAATTAGAATTCAGTTATCAATTTATTAATTGTTACCAGATTATCAAAGCATATATTGTCCAGCATTTTGAAATTCCATGTTTATTTGGGAGTACAGTTCAAAAAAAAAAAAAAAAAAAAAAAAAAAAAAATCGACCTACCTACCCACCTTGAAAATTCTGGGTCGGGTTACTGCAAACAAACATTTTTTTAAGGATGGCCTCAGTGTATTTAAAAATGAGAGTGCATGCTTAGTGTGAAGTTATTTAGCCATTATGAATAAAGTTGTCATTTCATATGCTGTTGTAAGAAAATAGTTACAGATTAAATGACATATTTTTTATATAGGCTTATGGAAACACTGTCAAATCTGTTATTAATGTAATTTTAAAGTGCAACAGAATAATAATGAAATTAAAAATCATAAATACCCAACAAAATTATGGATTTAGAAACTCTTCAACCTTCAATTTGATATAAATGCTTGTTTTCGCTGTAACTAGATTTAATTGTTATTTGACTTGGTCAAAATTTTTTTACTGCAGGATATAGAAAAGTGGGAGACAAACAGAATGTTACGTAGTGGCGTTGTGGAGAAGTTAAATTATGATGAGGACTTTGAGGAGGAGAATGAAGCCAGGGTTCATCTTCTTGTACATAATATAGTACCACCATTCCTGGATGGGAGAATTGTGTTCACTAAACAGCCCGAACCTGTTATACCTATAAAGGTAAGTGAACAAAAGTGGCCCCTCCTGCAGGCATCGAAAAATATTTTCAAAGTCACTTGTCATGCAGGATGAGAAGTTTCTAAATCCACTATGCAGGCATTATTTTTCTACTTGTCCTGCATCGAGTTTTCTTAAATTTTACTTGTAATTACGAGTGAAAGAGTGGAATTTTCGATCTCTATTCTTTTTTGTTTGTTGAAAGGGAAAGTGTAGCAGGATATTTTATGTCAATTCCAGGGGGCCCTTTCAGTTATCACAAATATACACACATGGCAATACATGTATTTGTAATGACTCCAGTTTTCAATCCAACATTCTCAGTTTTTGTGTGAAAACAGAATTCTTTTGTTTTGTTTGTTTATTAGATCTTGATCTATCTAAATTTCTAGAGATGAATGAAACTTTTGTATAATTGATTAAATTAGTGTGATACCAGTTTATGTAATTATTAGGTAATATCAAAATATCAGATTTCAATGAATTCCTTTTTTGATATCAGAGGTATGACTCTTGCTTAGAGTATGAAACTAAAATGATTTCAACAGAAATGATTTTTATGAAATTATTAAACACACTACAAGATCAGATGCTATTAAATTGAACACAGTTAGTCAGAACCATGTTTAGGATGCTGAAATTTTGAAGTGCTCTATTCATGTATGTTCAGTTATGTTTAAGAAAATTTTGAAATACATAAGAAACTATCCTATTTATTATTAAGTACTTAATGCGTGAATTATTTCATTCATGAGTACCGTATATATTTTTTGTCATTTTTGAAAACAACCATGTATATTAATGTTTGTTAGGTGTATTTTGATTTGTTGATTAAAGATCCTGTAACTCAATTTTTTATGGTTTTATATCATAAATATAATGCTCAAAGGAAGATTTATCAATATTTATCTCATTGTACTTTTATTTATGTTTGTCACCTCATTATGTCACGTTTTACATGGAATAAGAGACAAAGCTGTTTTTACTTTGGTTTTCAATATTGTACGTTCCAAAAAGCATTATATGTAAAGATATTACCAATTTACATTTCATGCTGATTAAGGGAGGTAATTAGAAATTTATTTTCTATTAAGTCTTGAGTCAATTTTTTCAATAAGAAATGAATGCATAAATTTTAATGATCACATATAATGTGGACACATATTAGCAGGAAATATTTTACATATTCCTCAATGTTTGAAAATATTTTTAGAAGCATAATTATATACATGTACACACATAAAATTTCACTTAGGTGTGGTAACTACCTTAATTACAACATACAGGATCTTTAAAGATTGAAATAATGTTTACCCTTACTACACTGAATATCTTAAAAAGACTTATCCATTTTTCCATGTTGATATTAAACCATGCTTTTTAGGAAAAATTTCAAAACCTGTAATGACTGATAAGCAATCAGTGCCGATCATGATCAGATGGTACAGATGTACCATCCATCTGATCATGGTTTGCACTGGACATATTAGTAAAATCTTTTGCCCCCAGCAGGCTATGGTTGAATTAATGTTTGTATTATGGTAGGATCCTACCTCAGACATGGCAGTGGTATCTAAGAAAGGCTGTGCTGTAGTCAGGGTACACAGAGAACAGAAGGAAAGAAGAAAAGCTCAGAAAAAGGAATGGGAGCTTGCTGGAACAAGGATAGGGGAGATAATGGGGGTCAAGAAAAAAGAAGAAGAGGTATTGTTTTCATTTTCTGTTCCTTTAGTTTTATAGTTACACATTTTTCTTCTTTATATTTAGTTATATTTTCTTTATCTTAAACACTTTTTTGACATACCTTGAGTAATGAATGTACATAATATCTTTTGTATGAGGAAGATATCAGGTATCTATAAGAAGGTCAGTAGTACTAATTAGATGTCTGCTTGCACTTAAAAAAGAAATACACAGAAATATATGTAAGACTTGTTTGTTCAATAATTTTTAAACTTTTAATCATGAGACCAGGACAATGTTGATACATGTATGATTTAAAACCAAATCTGTAAAATTACAAAGTTTAAGTTATGCTTGCCCAAAACAGTAAAAAGAGTGGGGGTGGGTAGTGGTGCTTTATATTAAGCAGATCCACTTTGTCATGCTTTATTCCTTGCCTAAGGGCTTTTCTTCAAGAACATGTACTTGAGAAAGCTCTTTATTGAATTTCGACCTAGTGATTTGTTGTAGAAAACATTTGATTGATTATTTTTGTGTTTCCATGGTAGGATGAACGTGAGGAGAAAGACTACAAACAAGACTACAAGTTTGCTGATTTACTACAAGACAAGACCGACGCTGTCAGTGATTTTGCTAAGAGGAAAACAATGTCACAACAGAGACAATACCTACCAATCTTTGCTGTCAGGAATGAGGTAAAGAAGCATTATATGTAGCATGTATTACTTTCCTTGGCGGACATTTTGAAGGGTCATTTCCAACATATTATATGCTATAGATAAGATAAAAATCTCTCACAATTTCCTGATGTTCATGTTACTAGAAAAAATCTTTTAAATATTTGTTCTATAATATTTTTTACATATTATGTTGACAGCTATAGCGTATTCACCCCTCGAATAGCTGCCACTTAAAACAAAGGAGGCAAATATTGTGCTGAATGTTTTATTAGCTTGTCTGTTTCAAAGAAACAGTTAAGTTTATGAGATTGCTGTGTCCTGGTTGTTGCCATGGTACAAAAACTTAAATGTAGTCCATTATACAAACACTTTAATGGTTATTAACATGAAACTTGGAATATATGCTTATAGTGACCATAGTTAAAATTGTTTATTGATAGTCCTTGCCCTTAACAAACATGCCTTAACAATGCATACAGTGCTCTTGTTTAAATATCATTAGTACATTCTTTACAATGTTTAGACAGAATTGTTGTATTTTATTGTGACACATACATTTAGATGTTGTATTTCAGTTATTAAATATTATACGAGATAACAGTGTTGTGATCATTGTCGGAGAAACAGGATCAGGAAAGACAACACAGCTTACACAGGTATAGGAACTTTTGTTTACACAACATTTAGTTTAACAGGTGGGCCATATAAAGGGGTAAAGAAAGTGTGAATCTTGTCATAAAAATGTTAAAATGTGTTTAACATGTAATCTTATTAACATCCTAGTAGATGAGGGGTTGCCTTTAAGGGTTTAGGCATCAGAATTGCAGCCACTTCCGTCCGTTCACTTTTGTGTCGCATGTAACTCAAAAAGTATTTGACCTAGAGTCATGAAACTTTACAGGAATGTTGATCAGCATGTGTAGTTGTGCGCCTGGGTATTTTCATCTGGATATTTTTAGTATTTTCAGAGTTATTGCCCTTGACTTAGTAAAATTTTGCAATTTTCAACTTGTGTCGCACGTAACTCAAAAAGTATTTGACCTAGAGTCATGAAACTTTACAGGAATATTGATCAGCATGTGTAGTTGTGCACCTGGGTATTTTCGTGTCGATATTTTTAGTATTTTCAGAGTTATTGCCCTTGACTTAGTAAAATTTTGCAATTTTCAACTTGTGTCGCAAGTTACTCAAAAAGGATTTAACATAGTCATTAAACCTTATGGGCAGGTTGCTCAGCATATTTAGATTTGCACCTGGGTTTTCGCTTGTGGATTTATCAAGTATTTGTAGAGTCATTTCCCTTGACTTTGTAAAAAGATTGACAGAACAGTGGCGCGGTGGGGGCACCCGTGTCCTATGGACACATTTCTAGTTTAAGTAATATGAAGCAGGTTTGGTGCCTCTCTGTAAATTTATTGATAATTTGAGGGTATCTTCCTAATCCAGTAAGATTTGGAATGTCACCAAAAACATCAACACAGACATTGTGACTTAAAACCTATAACCATGATAACAGGAATGATTTGAAACTGTAGCTAAGATTGAAAAGAGTTCCCAAAGAGAGTAGTATGATAAGTACGGCTTTAGAAATATTAATCATATTTGAAATATTTCTTCTTTTATCTCTGTTAAATAAATTATGTCCTTTGTTTAACATTGAACTATATTTATGTACACAGTATTTTACTACCTGCGAAGCATCCAGCAATTGGATCCACTAACAAACACTAGCTCAGCCCTTGCAAAGGGAAAACAATGAATGAAATCTCAACCCGGATGTCTTTTTCCAGTAAACAAGGATTATTCAGACATGGATTATCTATTTGTTACACAGTCTGTTTCCTTGACAACATTGGAACCCTGAGAAAAGGGAAAAAAGGAAAGTGAAGAATCATCACGCAAAAATTGACGAAAAAAACATCACCCGATTCAAAGTTATTAAGAAACTTAAAATACAGAAAACAAACGGTTTTAAATTCAATATTTAAAACAAATTCTATGAGCAGATTTTGGGAATAAACATGGGAACAAAATGTGCACCCAGTTAAGTTATTTTCTTCATGTCATGTATTGTAAATAACCATGGCAATTGATTCTTTTATTGTTACACTGGCAATTGAATCATTCATATATTTATTATTCCAGTATTTACATGAAGATGGTTACACCAAGTATGGTATGGTAGGTTGTACACAACCTCGTAGAGTAGCAGCCATGTCCGTTGCTAAGCGTGTATCCGAGGAGTTGGGAGTTAAACTTGGAGATGAGGTCGGCTATGCTATGAGATTTGAGGACTGTACCAGTGAGGTATGTGTAGAAAATTTCATGCTTGTAATGAATAGATAGATTTTCTTCCAGGCTCACGAAACTTTACCAATGTTAAAAAAAACCCTTAAAACTTAAAATTTAAAATCTTTTGATAAAGATCACCTGGGGCACTTAAAACAGAAAAATATTCTAAAGATAACAAGAAATATGCTCACTTTTAAATTGAAAGTCATTTTTTGTACCGTTCTGCGCCAAATTTGTTTTAAAATTTAAAAGATTTCAAATGCTTTTTCAAATATGAGTCATTTTACGCAATAAAAATGATTTGATGAAAAAAGTTGAGTGAGTGAATGATCTGAAACTTTGCACACATGTTATTTGTCTTGACTTACATCAAATGGTTGTGTAAAAAAGAAAAACTTCCTTTAATATAACCATTGTTGTTGCTGGAATACAAATCGAGTCATTAAGCAATGATTGCCTTAACTGCCATAGTTAAATATTGTGAACATTATTTTAGCTTGAACCCTTAGTCACACAAAGGTCTTACTCTGTATCCCAATATTAGCTGGGGAAAAAAACAGTTTTGCCAGGTTCAGAAGTATCTATATAAATACAATATGACTGTTTAGATTTAATTGTTTTAGCTTGTTGATAAATATAAAGAACTTGCTTAGCCTAATAGCTTCTATATTGTTTTAATGCTTATATAATAAAGTTCTTTTATCTCAAAGTATAATACCCTCTGTAAATTCTGCAAATCAAATATGAAGATTGACACAATAGAATGATGCCATGTGTTGATTTTAGAATACAATGATCAAGTATATGACTGATGGTATATTGTTACGAGAATCTCTGAGAGAGTCAGATCTGGATCATTACAGCGCTATAGTGATGGACGAAGCTCACGAACGTTCCCTCAACACAGATGTTCTGTTTGGACTGTTAAGAGACGTAAGTATATTGTAAGATTTTCACATGACATCATGGTGTGATCAAAAGAACAGTAGCTTGTTCTAGTGGTTTCACCCTCTGATTGAATTGAGATATACCAGGACTTTTTAAACCATTCTGTTCAATAATGGAAACAAAACTTTAGTTCATACTGAATTTATTTTAGTGCTTAAATGCTTAAGCTTAATGACACAGTCTAGAATATGTTCATGGAATCAACCAGTACTGATTGTAAAGTTTCTTACTCAAGGAAACAACGAATAGCCCCTAATGTTGTTTGAACCCACACAGCTAGTGATCCTTAAATCACTTTTCTAATGTGTTAACCATTGACCAAGCTGCCACTGCCCAAAAGGAAGAAAACAATCTCTTAGGATTTTTCAGCAGTTTGTTACAATAAAACATCTTAAAATTATGATACATGTTTATCTTGTTTATAAATTATTGATGATCAATTTATTTCATTGTACATGAATTCATGAATTCTAAAACTTGTGAGATTTTTATTTTAGGTAGTTTCTAGAAGACAGGACTTAAAGTTGATTGTAACCTCGGCAACTATGGATGCTGGAAAATTTGCTCAGTTCTTTGGCAATGTGCCAACGTATACAATTCCGGGAAGAACGTTTCCTGTGGACATCCTGTATGCCAAAAATCCTGTGGAAGATTATGTTGATGCAGCTGTCAAACAAGCTTTACAGATTCACTTAATGGGTCTTGAAGGTATAGTGTGGATTTAATTCACTTCAGTGTTGGAGCAGTACCTATAGACGCTTGCAGAAATCAAAATCACAAAGTAGAAAAATATTTTGCTTTTTTCTCCAATTTTTACATTTTCCATTCATTATTGTATATAAATTAGTTTGAAGAGATGAAGAATGAGAATTAGATGTTTTAAAGTTCATTCCGTTGGGTGAAAAGGAAAGATTTTTGCATTTAGTCATCCAAGCACCTTGTCCGGTATATACTGGTATACAATATTTAGTGTGGTGCTCCAACACTAATTTTTTGGGTCTCACTCAAGACATACAGTATTTGTACTTTTCCATGGAAAAGTGGTGACTTCAAATCACTTGCCCTTAACTGCTGTTGGTTCGGTTCCTGAAAGAGGTTTTGGATTCTTTTATGTGAGGAAACTAAACAGCTATCTTATGGAACATCAGTGGTTGTACTCCTATGCCTGCTTGTGCCTTAAAATAATGCACAGAGGGGGTATCTGAGGTCGTCTTCCACCAGTAAAGCTAGAAAGTTGACATTGACCTTTTTTTCTCACCCTTTGACACTCATTTTGGGGCTTTAACTGTAAAAAGGTGTTAGTCAGTTTACTTTGTTCTATGTTCACATTAGAATCCTAGATTGAAATTTCAGCATAGCAAGGCAGTATATAATGGTATAGAACTGTTCACCTAAGGTGTGTAAGTGGCTTGATAGCTCAATTGTTAGAGCCACAGAACATTATTCTCTGGTTCGAGTCTCCAACAGGATGCACATTTTTTTCTCAACATTTGAAACTATTGTATACATGTATAAAGATGAGCTTTTGGTCAAGTTCTGTTTCGAAATCCTATGTACTTTTGGGAAATAAACATGTATTTGATGCTCAATAAAATTTACTAAACTTTAATCTGTATTGTCAGAATACCTCTATAAGATGCTATATTTTTGTTATTTAAGGTGATATCTTAGTGTTCATGCCAGGTCAAGAGGATATTGAGGTCTCATGTGAGTTATTAGGAGGTAAGTGGACTGCTTCAGTAAAATTCAAACTTTGAATTAATTATTTACCTCAATTGAGTGAAAATTTGACTATAGTTTATTTCAAACACTCGTGAGTTTGTTTCCTGAAAACCAGTACTGGCCTCGAGGTTATAAAAACGTTATTCTAAGGTTTGTCTCTAATCTCAGGATTTTCATTGGTCACTGTATATTCTGTGGAAGTTTCTGACCAATCAAATACCAGAGATTAGAGTTTCAGTTTAGAGAATTTCTTTGTAATCTCGGACCAGGCCTAGATTTATAAAAAATGCTACCCTGAGAGTTGTCATGGATCTCAGGGTTTTTCATTGGTCAATGCACATTTTTGTGCCTGTGTCTGACCAATCAAATACCTGAGAATTGAGTTTAAGTTTAGAGAATTTCTTTGTAACCTCGGACCCAGGCCTCAATGTTTTAAAAAAAATGCTACTTTCTTATGGTGACTTTAGTTAACTATCAATTACTAGATTGATTGTGATTTTTGTGCAATGAATAAATTTCATAGATAAATATATTTTGTGATTCAAGTCATTGCATACGGACTTACTGCCTAGTGGTAATTGTAGTAAACTGTCAGTTACTAAATTGATGGTGATTTTGTACAATGAATAAATTTCATAGATAAATAATATATGTGTTCAGGAGCTATATTTTTATAAAAAAAGGATTTATGTTCAGTAAAGAAACATTTATATACATTAAAAAAAATGTATATCTGTTCAAGCAATAGGCTATATCAGTTATATATAAATGACATGTCTATGTATTCAATAAACTTCGTTGTAATAATTTGGGATATTCAGTTAAAAAGCTGCATTTTATTAAAACTGTAATCTTTTTTCTTTGAAAAGGGAAAAATTTATCATAACAATCTATGTATCTTTTTATCATATTCAGAGAGACTAGAAGAATTAGATGATGCTCCTCCCCTGGCAATTCTACCTATATATTCCCAGTTACCTAGTGATCTCCAGGCTAAAATTTTCCAGAAAGCTCCAGATGGAATAAGGAAATGTATTGTAGCCACAAATATTGCTGAAACCTCTCTCACAGGTAAAGTTATGGTAGGACAATCAAGGATAATAATTATCTATCATTATATGTTTGAAAATGTTTAAATGAAAGCATCTTACAATATCATGAGACTTCGCCTCTGTTTAGCCAAGGCATACCTAATGAGATAGATTTTTGTTTGGTTTAATCCTCTAAGGGACATTGATTTCCTCCAGATGGTGAAACTATACAAATAAATCACAAATGGTTACTGGTTCTACTCAGGTGCCAACATTAGCCTGAATTGATGCATGGACAAGCAGCTGAGGCATTCTTCTTCCAAAAACCTGGAAAATTGCCATTTGACCCTTTCAGCGTTGGTGCATCTGGAAATCCCCATTCACCACCTGCAAACAAAACAAAAAATAAAAAGATTTTCAGATAAAACAGTCTTGCAATGCTGGCAATAATAAATATTACTACAATACTATTTCAATATGCTTGATCTGTTTTATGTCCTTTCTTTGTGAAACACCTTTGCTTTATACATTTACACTATTTTGAAATATTAATGAAATGCCCTTTGCGGGTTCTGCCCCAGTTTTATTTGGAGCATATCTTCTACAGGAGTAAAGGGAATTTAGTATTACTTGATTCAAATGTCGGCCACTGTGAGACATAGTGATGCTTGCAAAACTTCTGTGTGCCTGAAAGGAAATTGCACTTGCCCCTTACTGCTGTGGGTTTGAATCCCAACAGGGACTTTGGATTCTTTCATGTGAGGAAACTATCCAGCTAGTTTACGGAACGTCTGTGGTTCTACTCAGGTTCCCGCTCATGCCTGAAATAATGCACAGAAGGGCACCCGAGGTCTTCCTCCACCAGTAGCCATATGACCTATAATGTGTCAGTGTGACGTAAAACCCAATTAAACAAACAAACAAAAGGAAATTGAATATAACTTGGCACAATGTTCACCATTGTAATGTCGAGTGTTACATGTGAAATTCAGGTCCCTTTGGCCAAGGTCATGGTCACATGCAGAGGTCAAAAGTCAGAATAAAAATTGAAAATGTGTGCATGGGCTATATAGACATGATGAGTCCTAATGCAAAAAGTTGGCTTTTATGAGCAATTTGTGACAGGCATATTTTGTGACAATGGTACTCTTGTTAATTATTATTTTATCAATTACGAGGGGTGCGCAATATATTTTGTCCAATTATAAATAAAAAGACAAATACAGTACCAGGACACTTTATTTTTGTTTATTTCCTTCAAAGTACACTCCTTTGTGAGAAATACACAACTTCAGCCTTTTCAGCCTCATTCGAAATGCATTTCCAAAGTCCTTTTTAGGGATGCGTAGAAGGCACTGATGAATAGCGGATCCTACGGCACTTCGGCTTCTATATTTCCGACCTGAAAGCTTCCTTTTAAGTCTTGGAAAGAGAAAAAAGTCGGCAGGGGCAAGGTCAGGAGAATATGGGGGGTGAGGAAGGATTTTCACTTTCTCCTTTGCCAAAAAATCCTTCACAATCGTTGAGGTATGTGCTGGCACGTTGTCGTGAAGTAAACAAACACCCCTGAGTCCAGTAGCTGGGCGACGTTTACGGAAGGATTTTCTCAATTTTTTCAAATTTTTTTGTTTATAGAACCTTCCTGTGACAGACCACTCCCTTGGCACTGAAACTTGAAGAGCAATGCCATTGATGTCGAAGAATACTGCTACCATAACTTTCTTGACACTCAGTGTTCTTTTTGCAATGGTTGGCCTTCAAGCGTTTCTGGTGGCCCAAATTTTATTATCTATCTTTTTATGTGGCTCTTAAAAGTGTACCCATGTTTCGTCACCCGTTATAACATTATTGAAACGCCGACGGTTAAATTCTGGGAATATCTTTAACAATTTCTTAGCACATCTGATACGTTCCTGTCTTTGGTCATTGGTGAGTAGATGGGGTATCCATCTTGCAGTGATGCGGCTCATTCCTAGTTTCTTCTTTAGAATTGTACGCACTGACCCTTCTGATATCCCAACTTTCTTAGCTTTGTCACGAGAAGTGTGTCTAGCATCCGTTTCTAATATTTTATTGACATTTTAATGTTTTTCGGGGTCACCACAGTCGGTTTTCTTCCAGATCTTACCGCGTCTTTGATAGACTCAACACCAGTTTTAAACTTAGCAATCCAGTTTCTAACAAGTCTAAAGGAAACTTCACTATCTCCATAAACTTGACAAATTTCATTGTAAATTGTTTTCGGTTCAATTCCAAGTTGATGATGCACTTTGATATAACTCCGAATTTCAGAGGAATGCAAAGATCGTTTCCCAACCAGTTTTACATTAGTGGGTAAGACCGCAATGTTTTAAATCGCATGTATTTCACCTAAAATACATTGGATTAAGACAAACCGGGTATGTATGTAAAGCTATTGCATTGAAACGTATGATAAGTAGAATTTCATGAGAATTTCGTGCAGAAATTTAAAACAACCCGTTACTGGACAAAACTTATTGCGCACACCTCGTATTTATGTTATAAAAATATTTCATACTCTTGTTTTATATAACAGTTGATGGAATCATGTTTGTAGTGGATTCTGGGTACTGTAAACTTAAAGTGTTCAATCCTAAAGTCGGTATGGATGCCCTTCAGGTCTTCCCTATTAGTCAGGTAAGTTTGCTTTGACAGGTTTGAATTAATAATGCTTCTTGGGATTTATGATACATGTAACTCCCAAACTGTGAATGATATATCTTTGAAATTTCACACAGTTATAGATGTTAGTAAGAGGAAGTGCAGTTTTAAAGAACTTTACTGTACATTTCTTAGTTATTGAATTATCTCCCTTTATATGACCTTACTCATATGATCTGATCGCCGATTATAAGCATTGTCTGTATTGAGGGTTGACGGCAAAACTGCAGTAACTTATTTAAGATAAAGAAGGGCTTACAACAGTTTTGCTATAAACCCTCTGTATCCTTAATTAATTGTTTATCCCCGCCCATAATAATAAATGGGTGTAACCTACAACATTCACTGTATCCCGGCTACCAGTCTAGACAGCATGACAAAACCAGCTCTGCATGTTGCATAACTTCTAGTTACATAGAATTTCGTTGGTTAAATATTTTTGTGGGTTTCAATTATTTTTAACCAATCAAAATTTGTGTTCCATCTATATAGTGAAAATTTCACCAATTTTAGCAATATCTTTTTTACATGGGGAAAGATTAATATAAAAAAATCTGCGAAAATAAATTTAATATTAATTTTGATACGCATAGAATATAGAGTGGATGATAAGTTGTTTAGATAATGAATGTAGTTTTGATGTAAACATTTTAATAAACATTGATTAGATTTGGAGAAAAATCACAAAAATGAGGCTGTCAATCTATTTTTAGAAAAGTAATATCGAGTTTTCCTAAGATGAAATGATGTCGGTTAGGGGAAAACAAAAATTTTGTCACGTTTTAATTTGGTGTGTTTGCTTTACCAAAATATTTACGCAGGTTTTGAATTAAGAAATAACAAGTTTCAGTTTGTTAAAAATTTGTAAAGGATGTGTATAAAAAGTCAAGAAATATTTGAATTTTAAAATGATAAATATCTAGAATTTGTACGTTTCGAAATAATGATAGTTTTTGTTGGGTTTTTTGCTGTCTTAAAAACTAATGGAGCAGATAGTACGCTATAACTCATGAGTAATAAGAATATATTTTTCTTAAAGTGACATGATGCCCATCCAAGGGTATATAGTGAGTGAATGGGTGAAGATCAAAATAAGTTTTCATTTTGCCATAAATCCTTTCAATTTAATAATTAAGTTCACATAAACAATAAATAACATACAGATCCAAATGAAATTTCTGTAAAGATCCATTAGAATTTACCTATAATGCTTAGTTTATAAAAAGAGTTGGGCAGTCTTTTTAAATTTAGGCAGATTTATAATTTTATCCTTAACATTTTCTAATATCAACTGTTGGTCAAACACCATTTTGACAGTCAATTTTTAGCTCGACTTTTCTATGAAAAGGGGAGCTATCCTACTCGCCCCGGCGTCGGCGTTGGCGTCACACCTTGGTTAAGTTTTTCGTACCACCCCACTTTATTTCAGAAGTATTACAAGTATGGCTTTGAAACTTACCATACTTGTTCACCATCATAACCTCCATCTACAGACAAGAGTACATAACTCTGTCAAGGTTTTTGACAGAATTATGGCCCTTTTTTGACTTAGAAAGTGTATTGAGCTTGGTTAAGTTTTTTGTACCACCTCACTTTATTTCAAAACCATTGGAGGTATTGCTTTGAAACTGACCATACTTGTTTACCATCACGACCTTCATCAACAGACAAGAGGACATAACTCTGTCAAGGTTTTTGACAGAATTATGCCCCTTTTTGACTTAGAAAATACATTGAATATGGGTAAAATCCACTTATTGCCTTAACCCTTTGAGATATTGCTTTGAAACTTTTAATGCTATTTCACATCATTACCCCCATCTGTACGCAAGAGAAGGTAACTCTGTCAAGGATTTGTTTTAAAAATTAAGGCCTTTTATCGACTTAGAATCTTGGTTAAGTTTTTAGTACCAGTCCACTTTTTGACTGAACTGTTTGAGATATTAATTTTTTAGTTTTTAGTACCAGCCCTCTTTTGACTTAAACATTTCAAACTTTGCTGCAGTGTTCAAGGGTATCACACAATTCAGTAAAATAATTCTTCACTAAATATCTTAATGCTCATGGCCATTGTTCACTTTAAAAATACAGAGATTCTTGTATTTCCTTTTACTGCAAAAACTTTTTTTATTGGCAAGCAATAAAAAAGTCGAGCGCGCTGTCTTACGGACAGCTCTTGTTTGAAATATAAAGTCAATTCAGCTCAACTTGAACACCATTTTGACAGTCAATTTTTTGAAATATAAAGTCAATTCAGCTCAACTTGAACACCATTTTGACAGTCAATTTTTTGAAATATAAAGTCAATTCAGCTCAACTTGAACACCATTTTGACAGTCAATTTTTTGAAATATAAAGTCAATTCAGCTCAACTTGAACACCATTTTGACAGTCAATTTTTTGAAATATAAAGTCAATTCAGCTCAACATGACTATGAAAATATGAGCATCATGTCACTTTAAATATTTTAAAGGCCTTTAATGCCCCAGCAATTCTTTTATTATTTCTCAAAAGTTTTTTATCTTTGGTGTCCAGCTTTAGTGTCAAAAAGTTACTTATTGGTTCATTACCTGAACTATGTTTTGCTTCTATTGTCTTTTGGCAATTAATACAGTTACACTGATTTGATATTTTTTATGGAAGTCAAAATACTTTTTTGTTTACATTGCTACTTTTATGACAAATAATTTCACATTTAGCCCTATTATCTTCAGGTGATGAGCATCTAATATCCTCTAGAACAATTATTTAAATGTTATAAAACTCATATTAAAAGGTAAAAATATGAAAAAAACTTATCAATTTCTGAGGCATTATGTACCTTAAAAAAAATTTTGTATCTAAAAATGTATTTATTTTCAAACTTGTATGACAATTTATTAAAATATTTTGTCAAATATGAAAATATATACAAATGTCTGGTGGCATAAAAGTGACTTTTGCAAATTTTAGAGTTTTTTTTGGTTTGATACTTATTTATTTTTTGTTAGCTCACCTGTCACAAAGTGACAGGGTGAGCTTTTGTGATCGCTATTTGTCAGTCGTACGTCCGTCGTCCGTCCGTCCGTAAACTTTTACTTTAAATGACATCTCCTCATAAACCACTAAGCCAATTTCATCCAAACTTCACAGGAATGTTCCTTTGGTGGTCACCTTTAAAAATTGTTCAAAGAATTTAATTCCATGCAAAACTCTTGTTGCCATGGCAACCGAAAGAAAAAACTTTAAATATCTTCTTTTAAAAAACCATAAGAGCTAGAGCTTAGATATTTGGCATGAAACATCTTCTAGTGAGTGTCTACCAAGTTTGTTCAAATAAAAGCCCTGGGGTCAAAATTGGCCCCGCCCCAGGGGGTCATTGATTTTCCCTATATGCATATAGTAAAAACTTAAAAAATCTTCTTTTAAAGAACCCAAAGAGCTAGAGCTAAGATATTTAGCATGAAACATGTTCTAATGGGTGTCTACCAAGTTTGTTCAAATAAAAGCCCTGAGGTCAAAATTGGCCCCGCCCCAGGGGGTCATTGATTTTCCCTATATGCATATAGTAAAAACTTAAAAAATCTTCTTTTAAAGAACTCAAAGAGCTATGGCTAAGATATTGAGCATCAAACATGTTCTAATAGGTGTCTACCAAGTTTGTTCAAATAAAAGCCCTGGGGTCAAAATTGGCCCCGCCCCAGGGGGTCATTGATTTTCCCTATATGCATATAGTAAAAACTTAAAAAATCTTCTTTTAAAGAACCCAAAGAGTTAGAGCTAAGATATTTAGCATGAAACATGTTCTAATAAGTGTCTACCAAGTTTGTTCAAATGAAAGCCCTGGGGTCAAAATTGGCCCCGCCCCAGGGGGTCATTGATTTTCCCTATATGCATATAGTAAAAACTTAAAAAGTCTTCTTTTAAAGAACCCAAAGAGCTAGAGCTAAGATATTTAGCATGAAACATGTTCTAATGGGTGTCTACCAAGTTTGTTCAAATAAAAGCCCTGGGGTCAAAATTGGCCCCGCCCCGGGGGTCATTGATTTTCCCTATATGCATATAGTAAAAACTTAAAAAAATCTTCTTTTAAAGAACTCAAAGAGCTATGGCTAAGATATTGAGCATCAAACATGGTCTAATAGGTGTCTACCAAGTTTGTTCAAATAAAAGCCCTGGGGTCAAAACTGGCCCGGCCCCAGGGGTGTCATTGTTTTTAACTATATGTGTATAGTAAAAACTTTAAAAATATCTTCTTTTAAAAAGCCCAATGAGCTAGAGCTTAGATGTTTAGCATGAGACATCTTCTTATGGGTGTCTACCAATTTTGTGCAAATAAAAGCCCTTGGGTTAAAATTGGCCCTGCAACGATGTGGGGGGTGGGGTGGGGGGCCTATATACAGGTGAGCGACTTCAGGGCCATCATGGCCCTCTTGTTAGCTCTCGACTATTCAATAAGAATAAGTAGAGCTATTGTAGTCACCCGAGCGTCGGCGTAACCACTTATGTTAAAGTTTTTGTAATACCTCAAATATTTTCAAAGTCAATTTACATATGGCTTTGAAACTTTGCACACTTGTTCACCATCATGACCCCAACCTGTAGACAGGAGGAGATAACTCTATCAAGCACTTTGACAGAATTATGCCCCTTTTTCGACTTAGAATTTACGTTAAAAGTTTTTGTAATACCTCAAATATTTTCAAAGTCCATTGACATATGGCTTTGAAACTTTGCACACTTGTTCACCATCATGACCCCAACGTGTAGACGGGAGGAGGTAACTCTATCAAGCATTTTGACAGAATTATGCCCCTTTTTTGACTTAGAATTTACTTTAAAGTTTTTGTAATACCTCAAATATTTTCAAAGTTCATTGACATAAGGCTTTGAAACATGTTGAAATTTTATATACTCTTCTTTGAGAGCATAATAGGACTCTCTCCAAGGCCTATAACTGTAATATGGATTTAAAGAAAAATTTTGCCTTTTTCGTTACTGAGAAAATTTTACCTTTTAATCAAGGCTTTTTAGCTCACCTGTCACAAAGTGACAGGGTGAGCTTTTGTGATCGCTTTTCGTCCGGTCGTCCGTCCGTCCGTAAACTTTTACTTTAAATGACATCTCCTCATAAACCACTAAGCCAATTTCATCCAAACTTCACGGGAATGTTCCTTTGGTGGTCACCTTTAAAAATTGTTCAAAGAATTTAATTCCATGCAGAACTCTGGTTGCCATGGCAACCGAAAGAAAAAACTTTAAATATCTTCTTTTAAAAAACCATAAGAGCTAGAGCTTAGATATTTGGCATGAAACATCTTCTAGTGAGTGTCTACCAAGTTTGTTCAAATAAAAGCCCTGGGGTCAAAATTGGCCCCGCCCTTGGGGGTCATTGATTTTCCTCTTATGCATATAGTAAAAACTTAAAAAATCTTCTTTTAAAGAACCCAAAGAGCTAGAGCTAAGATATTTAGCATGAAACATGTTCTAATGGGTGTCTACCAAGTTTGTTCAAATAAAAGCCCTGGGGTCAAAATTGGCCCGGCCCCAGGGGGTCATTGATTTTCCCTATATGCATATAGTAAAAACTTAAAAAATCTTCTTTTAAAGAACTCAAAGAGCTATGGCTAAGATATTGAGCATCAAACATGTTCTAATGGGTGTCTACCAAGTTTGTTCAAATAAAAGCCCTGGGGTCAAAATTGGCCCCGCCCCAGGGGGTCATTGATTTTCCCTATATACATATAGTAAAAACTTAAAAAATCTTCTTTTAAAGAACCAAAAGAGTAAGACTTAGATATTTAGCATGAAACATGTTCTTATAAGTGTTTATCAAGTTTGTTCAAATAAAAGCCCTGGGGTCAAAATTGGCCCCGCCCCGGGGGGGTCATTGATTTTCACTATATGCATATAGTAAAAACTTAAAAAATCTTCTTTTAAAGAACCAAAAGAGCTAGAGCTTAGATATTTGGCATGAAACATCTTCTAGTGAGTGTCTACCAAGTTTGTTCAAATAAAAGCCCTAGGGTCAAAATTGGCCCCGCCCTGGGGGGTCATTGATTTTCCCTATATGCATATACTAAAAACTTAAAAAATCTTCTTTTAAAGAACCCAAAGAGCTAGAGCTAAGATATTTAGCATGAAACATGTTCTAATGGGTGTCTACCAAGTTTGTTCAAATAAAAGCCCTGGGGTCAAAATTGGCCCCGCCCCGGGGGGTCATTGATTTTCCCTATATGCATATAGTAAAAACTTAAAAAATCTTCTTTTAAAGAACTCAAAGAGCTATGGCTAAGATATTTAGCATCAAACATGTTCTAATAAGTGTCTACCAAGTGTGTTCAAATAAAAGCCCTGGGATCAAAATTGGCACCGCCCCGGGGGTCATTGATTTTCCTTATATGTGTATAGCAAAAACTTAAAAAATCTTCTTTGAGAAAACCCAAATAGCTAGAGTTAAGATATTAAGCATGAAACATCTTTTAGTGACTGTCTACAAAGTTTGTTCAAATAAAAGACCTGGGGTCAAAATTGGCCCCGCCCCGGGGGTCATTGATTTTCTTTATATGTGTATAGCAAAAACTTAAAATCTTCTTTGAAAAAACCCAAATAGCTAGAGTTTAGATATTAAGCATGAAACATCTTCTAGTAAGTGTCTACAAAGTTTGTTCAAATAAAAGTCCTGGGGTCAAAACTGGCCCGGCCCCAGGGGTGTCATTGTTAGCTCGACTTTTCTATGAAAAGGGGAGCTATCCTACTCGCCCCGGCGTCGGCGTCGGCGTCGGCGTCACACCTTGGTTAAGTTTTTCGTACCACCCCACTTTATTTCAGAAGTATTACAAGTATGGCTTTGAAACTTACCATACTTGTTCACCATCATAACCTCCATCTACAGACAAGAGTACATAACTCTGTCAAGGTTTTTGACAGAATTATGGCCCTTTTTTGACTTAGAAAGTGTATTGAGCTTGGTTAAGTTTTTTGTACCACCTCACTTTATTTCAAAACCATTGGAGGTATTGCTTTGAAACTGACCATACTTGTTTACCATCACGACCTTCATCAACAGACAAGAGGACATAACTCTGTCAAGGTTTTTGACAGAATTATGCCCCTTTTTGACTTAGAAAATACATTGAATATGGGTAAAATCCACTTATTGCCTTAACCCTTTGAGATATTGCTTTGAAACTTTTAATGCTATTTCACATCATTACCCCCATCTGTACGCAAGAGAAGGTAACTCTGTCAAGGATTTGTTTTAAAAATTAAGGCCTTTTATCGACTTAGAATCTTGGTTAAGTTTTTTAGTACCAGTCCACTTTTTGACTGAACTGTTTGAGATATTAATTTGAAAGTTGGAATACTTGTTTACAATCATGATTCCCAAACATGTCCAGGAGAAGGTAATTCTGTCAAAGATTTTATTTGAATTATGGCCCTTAACTGTCAATGTTTTGTATTATAGGCAAGCACTAAAAAACTTAAAAAATCTAAAAAAATTCATTCCTATCCACTTGTTCACTTTACCATAAATTATGTCATATAAACATTGCTGTAATATTCAAGGGTATCAAACAACTAGTTCACTTTAAAAATACAGAGATTCTTGTATTGCCTTTTACTGCAAAAACTTTTTTTATTGGCAAGCAATAAAAAAGTCGAGCGCGCTGTCTTACGGACAGCTCTTGTTTTTAACTATATGTGTATAGTAAAAACTTAAAAAAAATCTTCTTTTAAAAAGCCCAATGAGCTAGAGTTTAGATGTTTAGCATGAAACATCTTCTTATGGGTGTCTACCAAGTTTGTGCAAATAAAAGCCCTTGGGTTAAATTGGCCCTGCAACATTGGGGGGGGGGGGGTGGGTTGGGGGGGCCTATATACAGGTGAGCGACCTTAGGGCCATCATGGCCATCTTGTTTTACTATCAACCACTAAGAATAGTCGAGCGTTGCTGTCCTACCGACATCTCTTGTTGACTCACCTGTCATGAAACTTGGTCAGAATGCTTGTCTAGGTAATTGTTCAGATGAGTTCGATTGGTCAGGTGAGCGATCTAGGGCAATCATGGCCCTCTTGTTTGGTATCACAATACCGACAGGGACTTTGCATTCTTTCATGTGAAGAAGCTATCCAGCTAGCTTACGGAACGTCAATGGTTCTACTCAGGTGCCTGTTCATGCCTGAAATAATGCACAGAAGGGCACCTTAGGTCTTCCTCCGCCAGTAAAGCTGGAACATCGCCAAATTACCTATTCTGTGTCAGTGTCAGTGTGATGTAAAACCCAATCAAACAAACATAATCATACTGTGCTAATTGTAAAATGTAACACAATGTAATAACCATATCAAGTTATGAATTTGCAGTGTCATTTTTGTAGATGATACCTGATGATTATTTCCTCTTTTGAATAAAATTGAAATTCCATGACCTATGTATTTTGTATTTGTGTTATACAGGCAAATGCCAATCAGAGGTCAGGGAGGGCAGGAAGAACAGGTCCAGGGTAAGTCTTGATATTTATATAACCTTTAACCTGCTAGATTGTGTAATGCAATTGCCCTGTTTTAAGATTGGAACAGTCCATTCAAAATATGATAGTATCAAAGTAAAAAATATGATCACCTATCAACAGTATCCTGGACAGACTGTGCACTAATTGTGTGTGTGTTTAGTTTTGTTTATACTTGGCGCCAGAGTAACCATTTGTCCGAGATTTATCAGTGTCCATGCCGGTGCACTGTTGAAGTCACATCGGGGACATCTTTTCATGCAGTCTTCCCAGAACCTGCTCTTTGCTCATTGGTGGTTGAAGGAGACGACAATACTATACAAGGCATCAGCTTTCCGATGGCATCTCTAAACAAAAACAACCCTTGTTAGCACCACCCTCCAAAGTTAGTCACATCAGGTCAACCAATCATCTCTGGTACTTGAGATGACTTGACCTTGACCTGCCATGTGTCTTCTCATTGGTTATTTGTTCCTTACTGCTCATTCAGTAATCAAGTTGGATTAGTAGTCATTCACATGTGAAGAGGTAATTATTGGTTAGTTATCCAGGAAAGCCAGTGTGATTGATGGGCCAAAAAAAATATGTTAAAATTGACGTATTAAACGGTTTTTAAACCTAAACAATCAAACTGGTTAGTTATCTAAAAAAGACGGTCAAGTGGATTGATCACAGAGATATAACCAAAAAATTTTTTTGTAAAAATCGATGTCAAAATAAAGAAAAATCTCAACAAACCAAGCAAACAGCAATATTTTGATGACTTTCATTTTCAGACAAGCTTACAGATTATATACAGCCAGGCAGTATAAAGATGAACTTCTCACAATGACCGTCCCCGAAATACAACGTACAAACCTCGCCAATGTTGTACTACTGTTGAAATCCCTTGGTGTCCAGGATCTGCTCCAGTTCCATTTTATGGACCCACCACCTCAGGTTTAAAATCTTTTTAACTATTATTATATGTTTACTGTTTTTCTGTGTGAATGGTATAAAAATATAAAAAGTAGTTTTAATTAGGTATATAAACAGCTTTATCATTATGTCATTTAAATTACTGTGGATAGTTAGAAGCAGTTGTAGATAACCAAATGACTTAACCTTTATCCGCATGAGCATTTTGTGAAAAATGGCTGTTTTCATTGAAAAGTCTCCTGTTACTAGTTCAAACTGCTATGAAACTATTAAAAATGCTTCAATACTGATGAAACTTGGCACAATTGTTGACTGAATCATAACCTCTGTAACAACATGCTCAATCTTAAATTTTCTGTTATCATGGCAATGGGGGGACGTCTCAAAATTGCGAAAAATTACTACTGGGAATTCACTTATATTCGTGGGCATGAAATTTCGTGGTTTTATCAAAATGGGAATTTTCGTGGGTTCTTAAATTCATGGATTTTTAATTTCTTGCAAAAAAATAAAATAAATAACCTAATGCAAAGTAATTTTACACTTAATCGCCGCACATGTTACATCTTTCAGTATCACACAGAGCTTGTCAATAAATTTAATCCTTGCCTCTGGGCATTCATTACACAAAAATCGACGGAAAAGCGCCGATGCATGTTTGTAATGTATAAAATAGAGACATGGCGAGAAGTATTTGTTGGGATAAAATTTTATCGTATCTTAAATTCATGGATTGACCTACCCACGAAAACCACGAAAATTTGTGCCCAATGAATAATAATGATTTTACAGTATTTTGAATTGTTTTTGCCATCAAAACTGCTTTCAAAGTGCTCCAACTTCTCAATGGATTGAGGTAGAGTAAAAGGCTTTTCAGAGTTGGTTACACATTACCTTAAAATTGACCTGAGGCCATTATTAGCCTCTTACAAGTCCAAATTTTTCTTGGCGATGTTGGGGGCTACGGCCCCCTTTATACCCCCAAACAGAAGTGGAATGTCCCCCTTCTGGCAACCCCCTGATGTATCTTTTTGATAGGGAGTGGCACTAAAAAAAGGATTACTTTTTTAACAACATTTCTCAGACATAAAAACAGTGTTTGGGGCCTAAATAGGGCATTTGCCTCAAAAAAGGAGGGGAGTGTTTAAAGCCATCATGAGGTAAAAGGTTAATATGGATAGTGCTCAAGTTGAGCTAATATGATCACCAAGTGTCTGGTGTTTGTCATTAACATTTTTACTCAAACAGGATCTCCTTAACCACTCAGCCAATAGTAATGAATCTAAAACAGAGTTATCTTTATGCCCTCTTTAAAAAATGCTTAAACGGTTCCAGTCCACTGAACTAGATGGGATCAAGAGCTAAAAATCAAAAACAAAAAAACTTATAAACAACATCTCCTCAAAGAGCAACCATTTGGTAGATTTTGATGCAACTGTACAGCAATGGTCATTACAAAAATTGTTCAAATCATTCCAGTCCTCAGATAAGCAATTAAGTGCCATCATGGCCCTCTTGTTGTTATATTTTGAACCCTTTACAAAAGTGGAAGCCATTTTGAGGGTCATTATTCAATATAAATAATATTATATGAAAGTCAAAATGGGTAAACAATCATGTCATGATTGTGGCTGTGCTGAATTTTCAGACTCTGTTAATATTTTAGCACTACTATCAAAATGTTTTTGAATTAAACTTACATGAAAATAATTGTGTGCATTGCAAGATATTTTTATCTAAACTTTAGCATATGATATCTTGGTAGTGACCCTCAAAATAGCCATCAGGGGTCCAGATAGGATGGTATGGCATGGTATATAAAAAGCAAAGCGTTGTTAATATAACTGAATTTAATTGACTTTGAGAGATATACAAAGGATTTATAGACCCAATGGTGTCTTTATTAAACCTGTACTGAGATAGCAGGAAACCTGTAAAAATAAGATGCTAGTTTTATTTTTGCAATTTCTCATTCTTAAACATACTTGTGACTGTGTAACAGAAAATTAAATTATTTTTGTTTTAAGAAGATATCAGTATTTGAATAATTCATTACTGGAGTACATGCTCTACAAAAAGTGATGACTATAATGTATTTACTATGCAAATAAGGTAAATTTAATTACTTTAGTAAATTTTAATTACTTTAGTAAAGTTGCAGGGCTTGTATGTACTAGTATCGAGAGAAAATCTTTCTCTTTTGATGTTGACTTTTCACTTAAAATTATTTTCTGCCATTTTTTGCATTCTCTTTGATGTTACTGTAGAAGATGTCAGATTATTGTTTTGTCAGAATTATTATTCTAAATGTTGAAAATGACCCAAAAATTGAAAAGCGTTGCAAAGCTTTTCACTCAAATATGTCTAAAAATAGCACAAAAAATAAGACTTTTAACTTGTCTTCATTATCTTTTGCCCATCTTTCTGTTTTAAGAGTTCATGCTGATATTTGCAAGAAATTCAAATTTAATGATTTTAGGCTTTTTGACTAAAGTGGAGTTCCTTTAAAGACGTTTTGGGGAGTTTTCATATAGACATAATTATAGGCAAAATTAAAACTGTTCAATAGAATTTTTTTAAACTTGGCATGATGTTAGAATATGATAATAGAAACTTTTTAAAACGGAAAAAAAATTGGGGTTTCACGTTTTATATATATGAAAACTCCCAAAAACGTCCTTAACAAAACTATTCATCAACATTAGGGAAAATTAAATTCAATATCCTCTTTTTTTTTATAATATATACCATAAGTTTATAAAAATGTTGTGTTTTTCATTTTTCACATGAACAACAATATTCATATGAACAATATTTATATGAATAAAATGTAAAACAATTTATATGATTTTTATTTGCACTGAAATATTTTTACGATTATGATTATATTGAGAGGGAGTGAGGGATGAGTTAGTAAAATAGTAAAAAGTCAATGACTTTTTGTCAATGGGTGTGACTATCTGATGAACATTAATACCATCGTGAGATCAAACATTTTTGGCTCGTTAATTTTTTTTTATGTACATGACCTTGATGACTTGTGTATTTTAAAACTGAAACTGTCGTCTGAGTTTTTGCCTCTTAGTTTTTTAACTGAATTTATTCAGTTTGATTTGTTTTTTTTAGCTTACAGCATACTGTATTTCTTTAAGTGCTAAAAAGTGGTCTTGACTATATGCCATTTTAGCAGTCATCACAGTCTGGCTGGGTCGAGGGGTTAGAGTCGATGACTTCTAATCCGTGGGTTTGATCCCCGGGAGATGCTTTGGTAGTTTAGCACGGAGGAAGGTAGTCTAGTACTGGTGTAACGTTCCAGGAACAATGGTTAGGAAACTACCCGCCTATATGACTACAATACTGTTGGGAAAAAGGCGTAAAATGAAACAAACAAACAAACAAAACAGTCTGACCAGAATCTATCAGTTGTTGCAGTCAGCAAAGTCAAGGATTGTTTCAAAATCTCTAACCTATGTTTAATGAAATTAATATGTATATTTTACAGAGAACATTCTTAATTTCAGGAGTAATGTAAAGATTTGTCCCAATGATGAATCACCCAATAACGATTTGCCTTACTTAAGTGATGATTCTCCCCTTTTTAGTGATGATTCGCCCAATTTTATATAAAATATTTTGTATTTATTTTGATCGAAAAATGCACATGGTTTATGTATTTTTGCATATAATTGGTATACCTTTTATAGATAATATTTAATTTGGAGATAGAATAAGAATAATATTAATTTATCAGAACTAATTAATTAATAATTACTAAACTTATTTGCATGCTTATTTTGGTATTGACTTTCAGAGTTATATGTAAAAAACCAGATTGATATTATAAATAAGTGATTATTATTCATACATAATAAATTGTTACTTGAAGCAGATGTTTAAACATTGTTGACAATGGTAACCTGGTATTTCTATTTAAGGCAGCATATAACATGTTTTCAAAAACTTGAAAACTGATATTTATAAAGTAACGGAATGCCTTAAACAAAAAAATATGTAGTACTTCAATGCATACGGCCAGTGAGAAAAAAAATATGATCTTTTCATTTACTTAAATCTTTGTTGAAGGAAAATGATATAAAATATGGATGTCTTGATGATCATTGAAGTGTGGCAAAGCGTCACTGAACTGGGACAATTTTTTGTTATCAGTTTGAATAGTAACTATTATAACCTTACATTTAAAATGGACGATTTTCGTTCTAAAATATAAATAAAGGGAACATTTATTTCATATAGATACCAAAATCTTACCATTTCTTAACTTTAAAAAATTTATAGTGCACTTTTATATACGCCCGAAAAAAATTCTGTTAGCAGATTTTGTGTCCGATCTGTATCTTTTGAATCAGTTGAAGGAGATTGAAACTTTTTGGCAGAAATGTTAACCATAATATGGAAAATCTGCTGACTGCCAGTTTAACTCTCCTTGGGTTAAGGTCAAGGTCACACTAAGTATTGTAAGGACAATTAAGATATAACAGAGAAGTTTCTTGATTGGGTCTCTACCCTTATTGAAAGATTATTTTTGATTATTTATGAACATTTACATGTAGGCGTGTACTGCCTGTCTTTGCGGTGCTTTTGTTAATGATTATTTTGAAGTGGGGCGAATCGTCACTAATCTGGGGCAAATTGTCACTTATATGGGGCAAGTTGTTATGGAGCAAATCGTCAATTGTCATCAATCATTATCAATTCATTTCAGGATAACATATTAAACTCCATGTACCAGTTATGGATTTTAGGAGCATTAGACAATACAGGGGCATTAACTCCGATGGGAAGAAATATGGTTGAGTTCCCGCTAGATCCAGCCCTCTCCAAAATGTTGATCAAATCGCTAGAGATGGAGTGCAGTGCTGAAACTCTCGTAAGTGGTCTTATTCTTAACTATTGGTAATAGTCTAACTCTAAACTTTTGTGAGAGGTCTTTTTCTAAACTTTTGTATGTGGTCTTATTCTAAATTTGTATGAATTGTCTTATAATCCCTGTCGAAGACGAAGGGATATAGATATGGCATTGTCCATCTGACTGTTTGTCTATCCTTCTGTCTTTCCGAGCTAACATTTGGATACACCCCACTCGTTAAGAATTTGGAATCAATTCCCACCAATGTCACCTTGGATGTACCTATTTCCTCCATCAATGCCACCGCACCAAGTTTAAATTACAAAGATTAGTCAGAACATGATAACTTCTCGATTACAAATCCTCATAATGATTGGTTCCTTAAAAAAGGATTAAAACTCATGCATCTTAACATTCATTATTTGTTTCCAAAATTTGATGAAATCAAGATACTTTTACATGAACACAAATTGATATTTTTGGCATCTGTGAAACATTCTTAAATGAAAGTTTTAGTGATGAAGAATTCCTAATAAATGGCTACCAGTTCTTTCGGAGAGATCGACAATCAAATGGTGGAGGTATTGTTGTATTTGTGAAAGAAAACTACCCTTGTGTTAGGCGTGAAGATCTTGAAAACACCAATATGGAAATTATTTTACTGGAAATTAAACCATTTAATCAAAAACCATTTATTCTTGGATATGTGTATCGACCACCATCATCCCTGTCATCTTGGAACTCGATGTATGAAGATACCCTGGAAAAATTAATTTGTGAAGACAAGGAACTGTTGATAATGGGAGACTTTAATATTGATTTTAAAACTGAAAATTCATTGAAATCAAACTGGTTAAAACTAAATGACAGTTACAATCTTTGCCAAATGGTTTGAACTTCCGACTAGAATTACTCAAACATCATCAACAATTATTGATCATATGTATACAAATATTCCATGTAACATAAAGAAAATTACTATCCCCAAAATATCCCTAAGTGATCACTTACCAGTATGTATAACAAGAAAAACGTCTAAAAGTTCTGATGGACCAATGCATAAAACAATCTCTTATAGAAATACAAAGAAGTTTAATCAAGAAGAATTTTTACAACAATTAAAATGTCAACCTTGGAGCACCCTGCAAATATACGATGATCCAAATGATGCACTAGACTATTTTTCCAACTTATTTTTAAATACACTTAATCAACATGCTCCACTAAAAACTAAACGTGTAAAACATACAAGTCAACCAGACTGGTTAACTACAGATATAAAATATGCAATAAATCAAAGAGATTATTTTAAAAGTAAAGGTAACTTTGAACAGTACAAGATCTGGAGAAATAAAGTAAAAGCACTTATCAAAACATCAAAAAAAACTTTTTTTACAGAAAAAATAAATAACAATAGGAAAAATGATCCTAAAACCCTATGGAAAAATCTTAAAGATTTATCAGGTACATCTGTAATACATCCAACTAATTTCATCAATGACGATCAAGGCAACCCTATTTCAGATCCAGTCCAAACAGCTAATACTTTTAATGACTATTTCATTAACATATTTCAGTGTACGCAACACACACTCCCAGAAATTAATGACAGCCAAGAAAATTCAAACTTTTCTTCTAAATTTGAAATACCACTTGTAACGAAAGAGTTTGTTCAAAAAGAGTTACTAAATCTTGACGAAAGCAAGTCTACAGGTCTGGATGAACTTGGGCCAAAATATCTAAAAATGTCAGCTGACATCATAGCGAATTCAATTACATATATTATGAACTTAAGCATTTCTAATGATATATTCCCAAACCAATTTAAGATTGCAAAAGTTACACCTATATTTAAAAAAGGTTCTAAAAGTGACAAATGCAACTACAGACCAATCTCAATCCTTCCAATACTAACCAAAATCATTGAACGCCATGTCTCTAATAACCTCAAAGACTTTCTAGAATCTAACAACTTAATCTATAACTATCAGTCTGGCTTTAGAAAAGATCACTCCTGTGAAACTGCCTTACTTTCAATAGTAGATAGGTGGATAAATGCTATTAACGATGGAAAAGTTGTTGGAACACTGTTTCTCGACCTTTCAAAGGCGTTCGACCTAGTAGATCACTCTATTCTTATCCAGAAACTACAAACACTTAATATCAGCAATAAAACAATACTGTGGTTTAAGTCCTACCTACAGGATAGGCTTCAAAAGGTATCTATATCTGGGAAACTATCAAAACCAGGACATATAAAATCAGGAGTTCCCCAAGGATCTGTTCTTGGTCCACTTTTATTTCATATATATATAAATGATCTTCCAAATGAACTAAAGGAAATTTTTACAGATATATTTGCTGATGATACAACTATTTCTGCAGTTGGAACAACTTATCTGGAAGTACAAACAAAATTACAAACTGCATTAGATAATGTAAGTTTTTGGTGTCAAATGAACGCTATGTCACTAAATGCAGAGAAATCAAAGGCAATGGCAATTTATCCATCAAACAAAACAGACTCCAAATTATTAAACATGCTACATTTAGACAATAATTTAATAGAATGTTCCAACTCTGAAAAACTTCTAGGTGTCCATGTTGACAGCAAATTAAACTGGAAAAACCATATTAATCATGTGTTAAAAAAGTACAATTCCAAATTATACCTACTGCAAAGAATTAAATATTTCATAGACATTCCCATTAGAAAACTATTTTTTAACTCCTACATACTACCTCACTTAGACTATTGTTGCTCTATCTGGGGAAATTGTAATTTGGAGCAAATACAATCCATAGTTCGATTTCAAAAACGAGCAGCTAGGATTATACTAGATCAACCATATGATGCCCCGTCTGAAAATCTATTCATTTTATTAAACTGGATGAAATTCCCAGACCGAGTCAAATATAAACAAGCAATTATGGTATATAAGTCAATCAACAATATTTGCCCAGAGTACTTAAAACAAAAATTTACCTTCAACCATACTATTCATTCTCGCACCCTACGTTCAACAGATTCAAAACTTAACATATACCAACCAAAACCAAAAGTAGAATTTTTCAGAAAAAGTTTTAACTATTCAGGATCAAAAATTTGGAATGAAATACCAATCAGCATACGCTCTGCACAATCACTTCAAAACTTTAAACATAAATACATAGAAAATTGGAAAAAGACAAATCAAATATAAAATTATAAGAAATACACTGCTCTAATTGAAATATTGTTATTGTCAAAGGTTTATTTGTAATTTTGAAATGCCTTGTTCACTGTATATATTTTTGTGCACTTTATATAATCATTATCATTATTGTCTATTTGCAATATCAAAATAATTATGTTAATGTTATTGCATAATTTTTCATGTTATTCACAACTGTATGATTGTAAATATGTGCAATTTATGAGGCCCACAGGGTAGATTGCCTTTGATGCAACTGTGTAGCCTCTTGAAATAAAGACTTTATTATTATTATTATTATTATTATACTTACGGTAGTGGCTACAGAAACAATAGGTAACTGTACTTTTTCTTTAATGCCTGTTTTCCTTCATGTGGTTAAAAAGAGCAATAAAGAGAACAATTTAGTAGTCACAAAAGTAAGGTCTCATTAAGACATATGTCCGTTGTTCACACTGGCGTTTGTCTCGAAATTTATGTCACGGAATTTGTATGGAGCAATATTGAAGTCAAAACTCTGTCAGTTTGAAACCTTAAACTTCATATTATATGGTTACATCTCATTTAAAAGAAAAGCTGTTTCAGTGCAATATTGATTGCCCGTTGCCAATTTTCATACTTTATTTTTGTATTGGGCATATCTAAAAAGTATCGCGAATATTTACTTGAAACTTTATAGATTGACACATCATGACTATATCACTGCAAAGTGCAGTGTATCTAAGAACCATTACTCACTTTTGCATAATATTTTAATTTATGCCCTTGCAATTTTGAAAATAGAATTCCATTCACAATTGAGGTATTTGCAAATCAGACTTGTAAAGTGTGTTTTCAGGGGAGACAACTCATAATGATGATCCTTGATTAAAAATTTTCCCTAAGTAGCAGCTGAGGGGAGTTTTATAAGTTTGTAGAACTTGAGTGTTTAACTCACAGAATGGTAGATGACTTCGACCTTATTTTTCAACATAATCCCCTTTACTTCAATGCATGTGGCCCAATATTCTTTTAAGCAGTCTGTGAAATTCTTTGTTGTTTATCTCCTCCATAGTGACAAGCTTTATAATTGCTCTGACCCATCGCTGGTTAGCCAACGTTATATATATTTCGTACATACTACTTTATCTACCCACGGTATATATTCCTTACATACTACATTATCTATCATCCATTATGTTACTTATGTTATATTCTGTACATACTACATTATGTAGATGAAGGTACTATATAAAGAATATATACTTTGGGTAACCAACGATGGCTTTGACCTCAACATTCTTAATTACCATTTTTGCCTATGGGTAAAGGTTTTAATACAAATAGTAAGAGCAAACATTTACGTGTTTACTTAACAACTATTATCATCCAAATAACAAAGGTTTACACTGCAAAAAAATTGGGGAAAAAATCTTGAATTCTGTAGAATATAGAAAATTACCGAGGGCTAAGGACTTATTGACACCCACCGCCCCTCCCCCCCCCCCCCCCCCCCACACCCCAAGTAGATAAATTGTTATGGTAATAAACAAGTTAATTTCAAAAAGTTATATTCAACAATAAAATATTTTAAAAGCTATATTTTACATAAGAGAAATTGAAATAGTAACGTAATAAAACATTGTATTTGAATAGTGATAGTGTAATTTAAAAAAAAAATCTCAAAACTTAATTTGTTTTGATAATTTTAAATTGCATTAGGTAAAAACAGTTATTGGTGTTAACAGGTCATCTTTATCAACAAAATTTGATTTGAAATAGTTTATGTTTTGCTGCCCACAAAACAATCAAAAAACGTATTTCTAATTTAGTTAGGACAAAAACTTACTGAATATCTCAACATCATAATAACTTGTTTATTCAGTAGATGTTTTACTTGTATGTTTTGCTTAATCATCAAAAATGATGAACTGATCAACAATTTATGATCAAAATTTGGTGAATATCGGAGATGAGTACATTATTTATTTTCCGCACCGCAAATTCAAAATATCAGCTCAAGTAATCAATCCTCTTGTCAAATTTTAACACCCCCTTCTGCACTTTTACTTTAAGACATTTATATAGAGATTTGAATTTTCTCCTCTCGACTTTAATAAACGGATTGTCAATTTCCCCTCTTTTGACTTTTATAAAGGGGTTGTCAATTTCTCCCCTCTTTGGATTGTCAATTTCTCCCCTCTTTGGATTGTCAATTTCTCCCCTCTTGACTTTTATATAGGGAATGTCACTTTTCCCCTTTCTTGACTTTATAAAGGATTGTCAATTTCCCCCCTCTTGACTTTTTATATGCGGTTGGTCAGTTTTCCCCTCTTGACTTAAATAGGGATTGTCAATTTTCCCTGTTTTACTTTTACATAGGGATTGTTAAGGGCAGAGCTGCACAATTTAATAACTACTGCTTATATCAATAATAATTATCATCTCAAAATAATTAGTTTATTATATTTATAAAAGAAAGTTCACATTTGAATAAAATGATTTTTATATTATAAGTACATACTAGGTAAGTTTTTCTCCAGTTTTATTTATCTTTATATATAAATACAAAAGCATGTGTACTGAAATTGTTCGGCAATTATTGAGCAAAGAATTTTCAATATATGTACATACATTAAGCATCTGATTTGTATAAGAAAAGAAAGGTTCAGTGTGTTGATTAGAGGCTATAAAGTGACATCTTCTGTGTCGTGAAATGAAAAAATATTAACTTGTACCAGGTGCTTACTCAGGCTTGATAGGCAGAATATCTTTTTATCACATATGCTTTTGCGACTCTATAAAAATGGTATTGCACAGTCTTGCATATATATAATATATATATAATTTATATATATATATATTTGCATTACACTATATAAACATGGCGTAAAGAAGCCCTAAATGTTTAAAGCGTTAAAGTATTGGCGAATCCATGACAGAGTGGTTCTTAACCAGGTTTTCAACGAAAACCGGGTTATTGTAATGCCGAAGTCGCCGAGCGGGCGGGCAGGCTCGGGAGGACGTCAACTTTTGGTTTCCGCTCAATAACTTTTGCTTGCTTTGGCCTATTGACACCAAACTTGGTGTGTAGGTAGTTTAAATCAAGTCGCAGCTTGGGATTGCTACCTAAGGGTCTGTTATCAAGGCCAAGGACACTGTTACAAAAAAAGAAATTCAGTTTCCGTTCAATAACTTTAGTTTGCTTTGGCCTTTTGACACCAAACTTGGTATATGTAAAGCTTATATCAAGAGGCAGCTTGGGATTGCTACCCAGGTGTCTGTGATCAAGGTCAAGGTCACTGTTACTAAAAATAGAAATTCAGTTTCCGCTCAATAACTTGAGTTTGCTTTTGCCTATTCACACCAAACTTGGTGTATGGATAGCTTATATGAAGAGGCAGCTTGGGATTGCTATCCAGGTCTCTGTGATCAAGGTCAAGGTCACTGTTACTAAAAATAGAAATTCAATTTCTGCTCAATAACTTAAGTTTGCTTTGGCCTATTGACACCAAACTTGGTGTATGAATAGCTTATATCAAGAGGCAGCTTGGGATTGCTACCCAGTTGTCTGTGATGTAGGTCAAGGTCACTGTTACTAAAAATAGAAATTCAGTTTCCACTCAATAACTTGAGTTTGCTTTGGCCTATTGACACCAAACTTGGTGTGTAGGTAGCTTATATCAAGAAGCAGCTTGGTATTGCTACCCAGGTGTCTGTGATCAAGGTCAAGGTCACTGTTACTAAAATTAGAAATTCAGTTTCCGCTCAATAACTTGAGTTTGCTTTGGTGTATTGACTCCAAACTTGGTGTATGGATAGCTTATATTTAGGCAGCTTGGGATTGCTACCCAGGTGTCTGTAATCTAGGTCAAGGTCACTGTTACTAAAAATAGAAATTCAATTTCCACTCAATAACTTGAGTTTGCTTTGGCCTATTGACGCCAAACTTGATGAATGGGTAGCTTATATCAAGAGGCAAATTGGGATTGCTACCCAGGTGTCTGTGATCAAGGTTAATGCATTTAGTTTTCATGTTATAACTTGAGTTTGCTTTGACCTTTTGTCACCAAACTTGCTGAGTGGCAGCTTTGGATTGCCACTTAGATATCTGGGAGCAAGGTCAAGGTAATTTGCTTACAATAGAATATTCAATATCTACTCAATAACTTCAGTGCACTTTGACCTATTGATTTCTGTCACATCAAAACTTGGTCGTTGAAAACCTGGTTTTCGTCGCATTGCGGCGCTTCTTGTTTTTTATTGTAAACAATTCTTATTTTAGATATGTGATAAATAGAATATTATATCTGTATAGCTTCATTACTAAAATTATTGAACTTTTGCATAAAATAATATTAATACTCGCCTTAGGCTTGTATATTTGAATTTTATTCAACTTGGTCAATAAATTCACTATTGAACCTAAACTCATTCAGTATATTCTATATACTAAACAAAGGACAGTTGTGTACTACAATGTACAAAGCATTTTGATTATGTATATCGTAAAGCCAACATGCAGCCAATTTCATGATTTTCTTTTTGAAAATTTAAAAATTGTTCCTATACATAATATTATAAAATTATGTAAAAATGTCAAGTGTATAAATGATATAGGGATTTAACAAAGCGTAAAGCACAGATATCCACAAATGTTACATATAATGATAAATCAGTCAATTTAACCTTTACTATACCAGTAAAAGGGGTAGAATTATTACTATATGATGATGAAAATAGTCAATTATGCTGCTTATCAGTAAAATGGTAGAGATATGATTATTAGAATAGTTAGCGATACTGCATAAAAAGTTCATGCAAAATTAAACCTCTTTTATATTTGCCCTCCATGATTTTGTATATGCATGATGAAATCAGTTTAAACCGAGAAAGAAAAAATCAACAACAAACAAAGCCTAGAACACATTGATATAAAAGGTATAAAGCTAAATGTAGTGAACATTTTTTATGAAAATCAAAAACAATTAATATATATTATTACCATAATTAATGGTCCTTTTTAGAAAGAGTTCATATATAGAATGTTAAGCACATTTAAAAAGTATGTATGAACAGAATAAAATGTTCCTGAACAAAATATTGTAAGTTTTCAACAATTTAGCAGTTTTTGCATTGAGTCGGTATTCACTCAAAAGGAAATATACCATCATATTTCCTTTATACAGGCATTGTGTAATTACTCTTTTTCCAAATTCAAACAAAAATTTTGTAAACTGCAGACAGCAGATATAGAGCTTTATATATTTTAAAGGAAACAACTTTTAGCGGGCTTAAATTGTGAAATGTATTGATTAAATCTTTGTAAGTCACACAGTATCCATTTAGATAATACAAAAAAATGACCCCACTTTATCTAACTTTTAGCTGGCTATTTATAAAAAATGTTGATTATAGATTTGTTCCTATGTCAAGCAGTATCCATTAAGAGGTGTCCATTAAAAAGACAAACAACAAACAAACCCCACATTGTTTAAAGAAAATCACTTTTGCCGATTAATTGTAAAGAAATATTGATTATAAATTTGTTCCAGAGACATCTTCCTCAGTTACACAAACAGAGTCCGTTTTAAGTTCATCTGTAACTGTTTCACTTTCTTCTGGATGATCAGTTGCATTACCCACATTATCTATATTATCATTACATATACAATCTTTAATATCGTCTTTTGTATTGTCTTCTGCATTACTTTTATCTGGTGTTTCAGTTTCATTTATTGGATCACCACATTCAATAGTACTAGTTGTTGTATTCAGCTCATCTGGTTCTACTGAAGCTTCTAGAACTTTTGGATCATCAGCCTTGGTCGGTTGTTCTTCAGGTTCATCGTGAACGTATGCCTTGTTTTCCACAACAGTGTCACTATTTACACTCTTCTTTTTACCAGTCTTATCAACTTTCTTTTCTTCTTCAATAGCTACAATAACCTGAATCTTTTTTGTTTTGGTTTCTATAAGCGGATCAATCTCCTCGAACTGCTCGATGAGCCTCACTTTGTAGTCCTTGTAGATCACGTAGGTTAGGGCAGCGATGCAAGGGATTAGAAAGATTGTGCCTGCTAGAATTCCGATGATAATTTTAAGGTCTTTTATCACGATTTTATCACATTTTTTGTCAAGAATCTTGGTATTATTTTCATAAATAGCAAGACAGATTTTAGACTGTCCTTCAAGCTCGTGTTCCAGGGACATTGAACGTTCAGAAAAGTGTAGAATTGGTGACTCATAGGTGATATAGTCGTCATCATCGTAGATTATCATTTGAAATCCGTAGATAGGTTTTGATTGGTTGAAAGTCCAACTGAGTTCTATATTGCTACCATCTACCCTAACATCAAGTTCAAACTGGTTTGACGACACACAGGAAGCGTCACAGTCTAGGGTACAAAGTACAAGACTGGTTCCAGTTCCAAGCAGGATTAAGGAGAGGAGCAGTCTTTCCATTGCTTATTACACCTGAAAGAATATGAGAAAAATAAATGAATTAACATTAACTTAACCAGTTTTGTTTGCATCAAGATCCATTATTGTATGTATCTATAATATAATAATTACATTAAATACTTACAAGTTCAGCAAAAAGAAAAAAAAATGCAATTTTTGAATGACTATAATGTAAAGTAAGTAAGTAGATCAATTAAGGATACTTGGTTTTATTGAGTCTGCTCATGGGATGGAGTGAAAAATGCAACAACTTACACCCCCACTTCAACAAGTGTACAGTCTCTTTAAACATAAAAAAGCATTTGAATCAATATTCTGAAAGGATCATAAAAAATAAAACACTGATGAGCCAAAATATTTCAAGAAAATCAACCTTTTAAGAAATGAACTTAAATTTTAAGAAAAGTAGAAATATTCACAATTCAAGAAGAAATTACATATTATAAGAAATTAACGACTTAATGATTTTGCAATATTTATCACCATATTCTATTGCATGCCTAAGGCAATAAAAGCATTTTTTGAATAGTCTGGCCTCATTTTGATAATTTTCATAGATTGTTTATGCTGTTGGGAGTGTTTAAAGTACTTTTTTTTTTGGTTCTGAATTGACAATATTTTACTTTTTAAAATATTCAAATATTTTCCATCAAATAAGCATGAATGTGGAGCCATGCTGCTTTAAAAATATTCCACAAGGAACACAAAATACAGCATAACAATATCTTAACTGTATCTTATCAAAATTGAAAATTTGTGTTACTTTATAGCAAATAGTGAGAGAAAAAACAACAGTATTTTCAAACTTTGCACAGGAAATTTTTAAAACATCAAAAAACAACAAAAATTAGAATATAAATACCTTAAAAATATACAATTCCTTTGCAGTAATTTCATAAAGGCAACCAATATTTCTTCTAAAGGGTCTCCACTATTTATAAAGGCAACAAATGAATTCTCTCCTAAAGGGTCCCCACTATAGATTATACATTGTAGTAACATACAGTTAGATAACAATTGAGTAATAGATTGCAATAAAGTAAACAGGGATTTAAGAAGAAAGTAATCTGTTATGCAATATTGAATGTAAACATCATTGTGCAGTCAGTTCCCAAAGGCATGATGCATTGATAAACAGGGTCAGAAAGGAGCAGATGATAGGCTATTCTTATCAGTTGAGTTTCGAAAAGATAACCAGCTGCATATCTCTGACAGAAGTTTAACAGTTAATTAAAGTACCTTTGGTGTCGGAAGATCTTGTTGAAGTTTATATTTATACAAGGCTAAGATTACAAACTTTTCATTTGACTGTAAAAATTTTGAAAATGGGACAATAGATTGCAGTTTAAAAACATCATTATTTGTATTGTTTTAGCACACCAAGATTGATTTCACTCACAATTCAAGACAGATAACTCTTGGTTTTCATTCAATATTCCTTGATGGTTATTTACGTAATTCATTAAAGCATTGTTTACTGGTGTTAAGTATAATGCTACAGTAGATATTTAGGCAGAACTAAATTGAATAATGAAATTTAAACTTTGTGTAATCTTAGTATATTATAAAAGATACATAAAACAAATACACACAAAAATGAGGGACACTGATCTCAATTTTGAGTTATCTGCCCTTGAATTTGTATTATCTTTTTTTTCTGTTTTAAATGACAGATGATTTATCATCATTGATTATAAATTGTCATATCAAAAATAAGAAAGTCCTTATTTTTAGCTCCACTTTTTTCAGAGAAAAAATGTGAATTTGTTCAAGTGTTGGCATTCAGGCATTTAGGTTAACCTTTTTTGTTAAGGTCATTTTCTCAGAAACTATAATTATATTTACTTCAGACTTGTTCCATAAAAGGATGCCATTTCCAAAGGATAGATATTCCTTAAATCGTTTGATAATAAGTTATGTCCCTTTTTCCATATTTTTTGCCTTGGTTTTTTTTCCATATTTTTTGCCTTGGTTAACCCCTTTTTGTCTGTTTTCTCTAACATAGCTCAACAGTGGAAAACATCCTCTGACCTGAACAAAAATGTGGTTAAAAAAGCAGGTAAACAAAAGCTGTCAAAAATGTAAGAGTGGCTTTGGGCTTTTAAGCATTTTAACGCCTTTGGGCCTGCATATTATTAACCCCCCCCCCCCTTCTCCCCCCAAAAAAAGAAAAAAAAAGAAACTTTTTTAAATAACAGTATGAAATATAATTAAGGTCTCAGAACATACAATGAAAACACTGTTTTTGAATTGTTTGGGTTCTCAGTACAAGGGATTCTTATATAACAACCACAGCTGGAATTCGCTTCAATCCTTTCATAATCTGTTTACATCAATATTGACAAATAGGGATGTCGATAATTCTTATGTAAAAGCTTTACACTGACACGCATTCAACAGACTGAGTTTAAGTCAATACAGTCGATAAATTGAGTAATAAATGACCGAATAAATAGCAATGGAATGAAAAAGATGTACTACAAAATGAGCCGAAATTGTTAAAATTGTGATGAATTGAATATAGAATTTCAAATATAATAACATTAATAACATTATTCAATCTTTTAATGACTGCTAAAAATAAAAAACATTCAATTTTCCTTAACAGTTTTAAGTTGAACGTTCAGTTGTGAAAAACATCAATTTACTTACAGGTTCAAAAATGAGAAAATCAAAACTTAAATGACAAACTATGAAAAATAATTATATTCTGACAAAAAAATGAGCACGATTGCAGAACCATGTTCATCACATGAGTGCTTCATAACCTAAACATTCTAACCACTATGCAACTTGGGATAACGTTTAATTCTTCTATATTGCAATAAAAATGCAAAATATAATAACAGAAAAACCTGCCCAACCATATCATAATAGTATGACCGAATAATGTAAACGTAATCGTGTTCGACTTATACAAGAATTATAAAGTGTAGCTGCTTTTTTATATATATTTGTTTACAATGTTTTATTATCTCCCTTCTTTGGAGGAGTGACTAGAAAATATTTGCCAAAGTGCACAAGTCCTAAATTTACAAGTAAAAACATAAAGTGGAATATCAAATGGGCATAATTTGATATGTGGAGATATTTTAAAATTTTTATCCAGTGGAAACTTTTATTACAAATTCTATGTCCTTCCTGTTTAAAACAAATTGGCTAGATTGTGATCTGATGCTTTATGTAATGAATCATTTTATGCCTGAAAATAGCTATATAATTGGCAGGTTGTAATACAATATAATTATTGTCCTCATTTCATGACACTATAGGGCTGACTAAATTATTCTTTATGAAATGATATGGTTTATAATTTGAAGAAAAAAAATCATTTATATTGTTTACTGAAATGAAAATACAGATTTTGGGTAACCTGATATCATAATTATGATGAGATGACTCAGTGTAGTAGTAGCAAAATTATATGAGCTGCGTCATGACAAAACCAACATAATGGGTTTGTGACCAGCATGGATCCAGACCAGCCTGCGCATCCGCGCAGTCTGATCAGGATCCATGCTGTTCGCTATCAGTTTCTCTACTTGTAATAGGGTTGGTAAGCGAACAGCATGGATCCTGATCAGACTGCATGGATGCGCAGGCTGGTCTGGATCCATGCTGGTCGCAAACCCATTATGTTGGTTTTGTCATGACACGGCTCATATGTAATTTCATCACTTTGACCGAATATTTATAATGTTTACGAGTGTTACATTCAAATTGAATGCAGTAAATTATTTTCATTTTCCTTCAGATAATTATGGTTATTCAAAATTCGGTGAATGACAGCATGAGTTTACTGGATGGCATGAGATTAACAATTTCATTAGTATGCACCACCACCAACATTTCTAAATATAATGAATTTATTTAAGTCCAATTTAATGTAGGAAGCTTTAATTATAGAACCAGGCCAGCCTGCACCGTGTGTGACTAAACTTCAAATTTTATTTTGGTATCATACAATTTGATAATGGACGCATGTTGTCCAAAAACTGGATGCTGGCAAGTCCATTTATTAGGTTAAAAGTTAAAATGATATATAATAGAGGGTAAATAATTATGCACCTTTTTCAATGCAGTAGCATCGGCTGAAGGACGGGGTGCATTTAAAGCCCAAGCCAGCAGAGCAAGGGAATTAATAAGTCTGAGGACTTTTAAAGATGTTATGGCATGATAGAAAAAAATGTGCATTAGTGCTATTTTTTTGCATAGGAATGTACATGGATGTCTGAATCAGTAATTTTGCTTTTTCTCAGGCAGCGTCTACGTCTAGTCAAGTTTCTTACATGTCTTATTTAGATATTTAGCTAAATAAATGGCCCGTTCAACATATTATAATCAGGCACAATTTTTACTGAAATGTCTTATTAAGATTGCCCAGGATTTATACCTTTGTCTTTACAATACTATCATGTTTCTGTTAAATGTGTGAATGAAAAAGCAGGAAATAATGCAATAAGCTAAAAACTAATTAAAATGTGTATATTCTTTTAAAATAATTGAAAAATGTGAGAAAAAAATATTTTGAGCTTATAAATTGATGCAAATTCTTTATTTGATGAAAGTTTATTTCACTAAATGAACAAGATCATTTTAAATCCCTATTGATTATACTTTTGAAAAACAGATTTTTTTTTTTGCTCTTCTGTGTATCAGTGTATCGATTTTTTCCTTTGACCAAGACATTGTAAACATTTACTGAAATTCACAGGTCATGAATCAGTAACAAAAAAGTCTGGAAAAAAAAAATCACACCTTCTGGGCCAAACCGGTGTTAGGCCGCCTCTACACCTATTCATGTCTTGAATGCAAGTATCATATTGTCTTGTCTTGCATAATGTAGACACCCTTCTTGAATGATTTTTAAAGAGAAATTATGTGACATCCATGAAGATAATTCCTTGCAAGAAAATTAAAACATGTTCTATTTTTCTACAAATTTTGGCTGTCAAGACACTGCTAACACTGGTTTGACACAAAACATGTGCCCTGAAGGTGTGATTGTGCTGATATTTGATTATTTTCTGACTTTTTTGTTGTTGATTCAGTAAACATGACCTGCAAATTTCAGTAAATGTTTACAAAGTGTCTTGGCTAAAGGAACAAATCTATACTCTGATACACAGAAGAGCAAAAAAGGAAGGAAAAAAATCTGTTTTTCAAAAGTAGAATCAAAATGGATTTTAAATGATCTTGTTCATTTAGTGAATAACATTCATCAAATAAAGAATTTGCATCAATTTATAAGCTCAAAATATATTTTTTTCTCACATTTTACATTTATTTCACATTTCATTTACTCCATCGTTTTTAGCTAATTGCATCATTTCCCCCTCTTTTTTACAGAAACATGATAGTATTGTGAAGAAAAGGTATAAATCCTGGGCAATCTTAATAAGACATTTCAGTAAAACTATGCCTGATTATATGTTGCAAGGGCCATTTATTTAGCTTATCTAAATGTGACATGTTAGAAACTTGACTAGGTGTAAGAAGCAGCCTTATCAGTGTCTTGACAGCCAAAAACTTGTAGAAAAATATTAACATGCTAATTTC